AAGCTACTCAAACTCTCACTTAGTTTTTGTTGGTTTGCTTAAAATGCCTGATCTGACATTTTGCCATGTTTAACGTGCGCGACATCAACATTGCACGGAACTTCAAACTTCAACCTCACTTGAGCTCTTTACCCAAAAATCTTTGAATTCTCATTTCGGGTCAACAAGTTAATAAATAGCTTTTCTATGCATTTATTAGTCTTCTTATTTTAGGGCACTAACAAGTATAGACAGTCCCGCAAGAAGTGACTCGGCTTCGCGGGCTCAAGAGTTTCTGGACGATTCTCCGCACTCTACCCCAACATCTCATACAGGTGCAATATCCATTTGTAGTCTAAACTGATCTGTTGTTGTATGCTTTAGGCGGTGCGCATATGGGGCATAAAACACTCGAAGATATACTGCCGAATACTTCCGCAAATCCTCTCATCAGTGCGCTGTTGGTATGTTCACTGTTAATTTAACCTTTTTGCTCGTAAAGATGCGACTTTCATTCGCCAAATCAGATTTATATTTTCCATTTCCAGCTATCTCAAATAGCACTTTTCTCTCCAAATCTCGCATGGATATCTTGATGATTCTAAAGTGATATGAAGTTCGTTATGTTCTTATCACAAGGTTTTGTGTATGACATTGTCTCTCATTAGGTAAATAGAATTGCTTTTCCCTCCATTCTTTCTTGATATAGCCATTTATACACTTTCTGCGACACTTTACTCATTTTCCTTTTGTTGTGCACTCCTACGTCTTCAGCTTTAAAAATTGAGCTTTTCAGGATAAGAAAAAAGTGCAGGTGAGTAGTATCCGGCACAACGAATGGGTCACAACGGATGATGACATCTCGCGTTGTAAGTTTCTTTCTGGCCTATTGGTGATTGTATCTGTACATCGTATAGCCACCAGCGCAATAAACCGTGATTGAACCTGATTATTTAAAAACATAGAATTTTGTTGCTGTAGTATTGCATAGGGAAAGTCAGTTAGGCTTTCATAATCTCGAAATTTTTTGAGGAGCTAATTAATAATTGATGATACTGATAACATCGTAGTATTTATGATTCATTCGGTACACTGAAGGTGAACCGACAAAACGAAAAAAATGCAAAGCAAACATCATGAGTCAGTTAATCCTCGATTTTTGGTTGCTCCTTTTCCCCGTCTCTCTCCTTTCTCTTTTTCGGGTGAAAGTTTGAACTAGAATCAACTTATGAGTGTGTGTATGCTCATTTCTTATGCTTGCTGTTTAAGCCACTGCTGCTGATGCTACATCAATAACGTCTGTTGGGGAAACTATCGGGAACGCAGCTGTACAGAATTCATTTGGTTTCCCTGCTGATTGTGAGTGCAGTGATTCCTTCAGTCACGTATAATACCTTGCTAGAATCATCCACGTTTCTATATATGGAGCTTTCAGTATTTTCAACGCCACCACCAACAATCAATCCATATGCCGCACTTCCACAGCACATAGTGTCTGAGATAACTGCAGGATTGTCCGCTCCTCCTCCAGTTTCGTTCCAGGTGTGGATTAATTCAGCCGAGACTATATCTTCACAGGATTGTCAACATTAACTCTTGCTTCTTTTATTTTCCATTTATTAATTCTTTTAAAGTGGTTGCCCTAGTGTACAAGACCGAGGCAGTTTTATTTATATTTTATATTTCATTTCATTCCTCTTCTTTCTTTGAATTTTAGTGGTTTCCTAGAAGTTGATTCACCTTTATTATATCTATTGTTATTATATGTTGTTCAGGTTCCACCCCCAAGCGTCATTGTAGGCAATATCCCGCCTAATCATGGTACTGCGGGATTCGTCAGTCAAGGTAAATATTTACCTTTAATCAGTTTCAAAGAAGTAAGTAATGCTACGTTATAGTTGAAATTGCGGATTGTGTTTCTGCTATTTCCAGGAATCATTCCGAATGGTACGGGTATGGCTGTGCCCACAGAGTTAGTTGATAGTTCTTTTACAATCTTTCTTCCGTCAAAATTCTGTCTCAAATATTGTACTTGAATTTTTTTCTACATCTTTGCTAAAGTAATATAAAAATGTACTAATCAAATGTTTTTAGAGTGGCAAAGCCGGTGACTATCTTCCCCACAAAAATTGCAGTTGATTACGAAAGAGACATCATTCCTAGGTCGCCAACACCGCGTAAGTTCCTTATCCTTCTGGTGATATGTATGGTCAAGAAAAATGCGTGAAAGTTAACTTAAGCCCCAACTCCACCTCGTAGACCCAACCCACGTCTACGGCCAGGAGCCATGGGTAAGTTCATGCATCTCATCAGGATTTCGTGATGGGTTTTTTAAAATTTGCTTTTCTTTTCGTAATTGTTCACACAGTTAATCTGGATCTTTTCTTTGCTAACAACTTTTTTTTTCGAAATTCAAGGGGTTCCTATCTAATTGTTTTTAGTACCAGCCCTGAGCGCAACTGGGCGA